ACACACACAGACACATACATAGTAAGGGATCTTTTTTACTTTGGCTTTGTATTACTTTATTATTTTATTGGTTCACATTTACCCGCCCTGTCTATTTTTAAACCCCCTGCATTTCACTTTATTGCCCTTATTCGCTGAGAACGGTGCGCTGACTTATTAGTTTTCAAACCTACCTACCTTTACTATACCTAGTAGCATTCTAGTGCTCAGCAACCCTGCCCACTACCACCACCACCACCACCACCAACATTGTCGAGACATCCTCGTTTCTCGAAACTCTCAATCCTTCAATCTTGTTTCCCCCCCCTCCCCTCCCCAAAAAGGTTCAATTTGGAAAGTTTGACATTTTTCCAACAATAACATTATATCCTGTTATAATCGGTCATTCGTCATTTGACCCGGTCATACATTGAAACCTACCTATCCTATTATTCTTTCAGGTACACACACACGCACACACACGCGCACACACACACACACACATACAACTTCGAATAATAATAACTGCGGCGTCTCGCGTGCAATACCTAGCTAAGGCAAAGATTAGGTTACCCCTCGAGGCAATTATTACTTTGTTCTCAAACTCTTCTCTTACGACCATTCGCTGTATGCATTCCAATCACTTTGTCTAAACCATCACTTCTTGCACCATTCCATATTCAATCGCAAAATACAAGATCAAGGCGCGTTTGACGTTGGTTCTTGTCGTCGGCCCTTCGCTGGAAGTTTGTCATTCAATTGGGAAACCGTTTCAAGGGCTTCATAACTTCAAGTGAGTGAGTGAATTCCATAACCTTTCTTTTGTTTAATTCTTTTAAACTGGCGTCCCTTTCTTATTGTTGCCTTCATTGGTTATAGTCTCATCATTAAACAAACAACAAAAGAATCTCGTTTGTATTTATTGTTGTACTCTTTGACAAGCGATGATGGCTGGTCCAACAAGCATTGCAATTGCTAACAATGCGACTTTGAAAAGGTCTTTTACGGCGATTACACCTTCACCACCTTCGCCCGACTTGAGTGGACTATCTAAAACATATTGGGATATACAATTAGTCCGGAGCACACACGAATCATTGGCGCAGGCTCCAGTAGTCAAACGTCGCAATCTTTCTGAAAGACGAAAGATGCCATCAGCAGCTGGTCCCCGAATGTACGAGAATCATATACCTTCATTCATGTCAGTGTATGGTATGGATTCGAACATAATGGATGGTTCTTCGTTAGACGGCACTCACACCAAACTATCGGCTAGTCCGTATAACAATCAACAATTACATCAAAATTCAGAAGTCAAGACCGATAGCAACTTACTTCAGATACATTCCCATCAACATCGGGAAAGTACTTCAACACAGGCATCCGATTCGACGGACTCTTCACCCACCACGACAGTATCTACAGTAGATTCATCTTCGCTATCAGATCCATCACCAAGTTCTTCGCCTGAATCGCCAATCACACTCGTCCCATTATCTTCATTCACTGGATCTTCGTTTGGTCTAGATTCTTTTCAAAATTTAAAGATGGGCGAAGTAGATGCAAGGCCGCCGCCAATAACCATTGAACGACCTATGACTTCACCTTCGCCAAGGAAGAAGAATCCCAAAAGTCTGGCTCTCAATCTTCGACCAAGCATCGATGAATTCACCTCGGAACCGGCTTCCCCTTCGTTTATCAAACCGCCACCACTGAAGGCTAGAAAAAAGCCAAGTATATTAAGCTTAAATACTGGAACCGCCAACCTGACTTTGGAATCTATGGGACAAGGAACATCGTCAATGTTGCAACGAAGAGGCCTGAAACATTCTGTCTCGTCGCCGCAAATGCTTTCAATGACGACACCAGGCTTTGGTCCTAGTGGTGGAATGACATTGGGTGACCCTTCTAGAGGATTTGGAGGCTCGAGATTGAAAGAATCTGGCGCCCCGCGAGATACATTCACTATTAATGAAGATGATGCCCCCTCACCAACAGGAGTTCAGATGGCAACTCGAGCACCAGGAATGTCTATTGGCGGTGATTCATTTGACAGGCCACCTACTGGCGAAGATTGCAAGTCTCCATCATATCCTGACGGTCCAATCCTCATGCATGAGCCAACCATCCATCTATACTCAGAGCCTAAAATGGAGGAGGCTGCAGAATTTGATGTTGTGATCAATGTCGCGAGGGAAGTCAAGAATCCATTCGAGGTAAAATTGGAGGAAAGGGAGAAGGAGAAAGAGGAGAAGCAGAAAAGAGTTAGCTATATGACTGCCGCGTCCAGGCATAACTCTGTAGATCCATATGCCGAGATACCTGGCACAGCTGGAACCAATTCCTCTTTCCAAACTGCTTACGAGACTCAACCGGCTGGTTCCGAATCGAGTTCTGCGGAGTCATCTCCATCTACACCACGACCTAACACCTCGGAAATGAAGATTCCCGAGTACATCCATATTCCTTGGGACCATAACACAGATGTGCAAGATGAATTGTGGGATTTGTGCCAAACTATAGAATCAAGAGCTAAAGAGGGAAAAAAGGTTCTGGTGCATTGCCAACAAGGTGCTAGCCGATCGGCAACCTTAATCATTGCATATGGAATGTATATCAACCAAGATTTATCAGCGAACGAAGCGTACAATTTGGCACAATCGAAGTCACGCTGGGTCAATCCTAACATGTCTCTTCTCTTTTCATTGAACGACTTCAAAAAGGTTATCGAGAGAAAGAAGCTGGAGAAACAGGCAGCTCAAAATAAAGACACAGTTGTCAGGAATAAAAGCCTGACCCGACACAGACAATCGCTCTCTGCAAATGATCTCGACACCGCATCTTCCCCGGGCCGTAATAGAGCAAACTCGTCTCACGTTTCGCCGCCTAGAGATCCGGTCGTCAGAGAGCCTTTGATCACAAAGGTCGCCTCAATCAAGGAATCCGAAATCAAGGAAGAGGCAAATTCTGCTTGTAATTCCGCAATTGACCGTCTAGGCCGTTTTAACTTCGGATTCGGTGACATTCCACGCATCGAACCTTTTACCAAATTTGAAATTAATCCGAGAGTTGATCGATTACCATCACAAGAAGACAAATGGCAGCTTGACACGATGTCTCCTCGACCACATGATGATGACGCGCAATCTGATATGATGTCGCCGCGTATCACTGAGATGACTCGTAATCCCCTCGAGCATGCTTTCGCACGTGGTATTCCACAAGAATCTTCCTCTAGTGGAACACCCAGCCTCTTCTCTCCACGTGGATTCGATTTCCAGCGAACAGCGTTCTTCCCCCCAACTGTCGCAATTCATCCAAACCTCCCACCCGCACAAGATCCTAGGAGTCCACCTATAACAGGAGAAGCTACTATCACACGATCTATCGACGATTTTCTTTGAGCATTTTCAGAGCACATAGAATTCATCCTACTAAAAGAATATTACCATAATGTCTTTGACCGATGTTTTATCTATACCAAATTTCGCAAGCATTATAAGTACACATTTAGTTGTATGCCAAATTTTGGATTATCATTCGGCGTTTCTTATTTTCTTTTCTTTTCTCTTTTCTCAAATTTATAAGCAATACGCCGGTTTTTTTTTTCTTTCTCATGATGGACGAAGATGGAAGGGCGTTTGCATAAGTTCGTGGCGTTGGATACGTAGGCAGGTCATCGTTACCGCCTCGCTGTAAGATTTTAATGAATTGTCCCTTTGTCCTCAAAGGGAGTGGAGGGATGGTACGGAAGAGATGGAGTGGAGGGATGGGGTACTCACTTAGTTGAGACTTGGAACAACGAAGGCAATATGATGAGGGGAATAAATCAAGAGGGGAAACCTTCCTTTTGTATCAATTGCCTGACGCTGTAGGGTGGATGGCTACGAATAAAACTATATACCCAAGAGAGATATTTACTGGCTATATATTCTTTACTTCTATCGTGTGATTATATTGTGCATTATTGTTGATTCTACCAGCGATTCTTTTGTGTGTGAGCGCTATCAGTCTGAGCTTGCACGATGACCCCTCTGCTATGTATGTAAATGCAGAACGTAACTGAGATTTGGGTGAATGTGGATCTACTTTGTAAGATTAATAAGAGAGCCTACATGGAAATGAAAATGGAGATGGAAATGTTGAATCACATCGATCGATTGATTATTTAGATGGGACTTCTAGTGTGGTCTGTTAGTATATGTTGGTATATGAGGTTGATAAGAGAGGGATTGATGGGAAGATGATGAGGTGAGGTGAGGTGAGGTGATGTGAGGTGATGAGGTGATGTGATGTGATGTGAGGTGATGTGATGTGATGGAATATAATATGTTGAACGATTGAGGGGCTGTGTGGATGTTTGTTTGTTTGTTTATTTGTTGAATGGAGGATGATAGGATGGGAGGATGGGAGATGGGAGATGGGAGATGAGCGGAGTTGGTTTTTTGAGGGCTAGGCTGTATGGTTTGGGTTGTGGGTAAGATTTAGAGATGTTGGGTATGGAGTAGAGAGTAGAAGGTGAGGGCTAGGTTAGGAGGTGGGTAGTGGGTAGGCAGGGAGACGAGGGAGATGAGGGAGGTGAGGGAGGTGAGGGAGGTGAGGGAGGTGAGGGAGGTGAGGGAGATGTGATGAAAACAAATAACTTTGGAAGGCATTGGTAGGCAAGGTAAGAGAAGAAGAAGAGAAGAGAAGAGAAGAGAAGAGAAGAGAAGAGAAGAGAAGGAGAAGAGAAGAGAAGAGAAGAGAAGAGAAGAGAAGAGAAGAGAAGAGAAGAGAAGAGAAGAGAAGAGAAGGAGAAGAGAAGAGAAGAGAAGAGAAGAGCAAATGAAAACCTATTGAAATTATAAAATTGTATTGTGCTCGAAGTAGTCTGTACTGAGTAGGTACTAGATAGTATCCCACAACATAACACGAGATGATATCCAAATCCATCCTACGAATTCGTTAAGATGGTCGTCTCAGTATTCCATTCCACTCCATTCTATTACACTCCATAATTCAACAACATACCCAACCATTCTTTAAATACCAGCAACGACACTATACTGACTACTTTCATTCGAATCCGAGTCCTCATGCTGAGGTTGAGGCTCCTCGCTTCTCCTCTCCTCTCCCTGCTGAGCTACAATGTCAGCTTCTTTCAATCTCTCAATCGCCTTCAAGAACTTGAAAACTTCTTTTGCACAAGCCTCTTTGGCTTTCTGCTTGCCGTAAATGTTTGTGAGTTTTCCTATGGGGCCATCAGCTCGGGGATCAGATCCAAAATCTGCATAAATTTCCCAAAATGCCGCGCCTTCTGACATGCGCGTGAGTTTATAAGCGGGAGGATTGAAACCAAGGGCAATGCAGAGGCCGGGAACGAGACTAGGGTAGGGTGTTGGGGAAGTGCTTCTCTCTCGGGCATCGAGAATTGGTGAGGCAATTGGGGTCTTGGGAAATCTGACGGCGCCGTTAGAGGGCATGAAGTTATGTGATATAAGCCAATCGATGGCGACTTTGGAGATGAATTGTTTGGCATCTTTTTTGTTGCTGAAGGATGCTAAAGTGGTGAAGGACTCGGTATTCTGTACGATGACTACAGAATAGCGAAATCGCTGTTCGGAGACTTGTTCGTCTCTATACTCTGGCGGTGGAACGATGTTGTTGGCTTGGTGGTACTCTGGAAGTTATTGGTATCGATGCATGGATGAAGAAGTCTCGTGATCGTGATAGAGGACTTACCCAGTAGTTTTCCTACCCAATTTGTGCTGCCCATTTCTTGCAATGCTTGATTTTCAAGCAGGACACCACTAACATCTGGCACAGTTCTAGGTCTACTGGCGGCTGGTAAGCCGGCACGAGATCTTGTGGGTTGTGCATTGAGATTATCTTGATCAATCCTAAAAGCCTTGTTAATAAACTTTCAAGAATAAAGCTAAACGACAGCGACAAAAGATTGAGTCATGGTATTATGACACTTGAGTGTATCCAACATAGAACCTACTGAGCTTGCAATTCATCTTGCTCTCTTTCAAAATCGCTCAAGCTCTGAAATCGTGCTCCAGAGCCTGACGTTCCCACGATGCTTGCTTGAGTGCCCGCCATATTATTTATACGAGCTTGAATATTAGGAAAAGAGCCGTAAACGTTTGTGAAAGAACTGAGCATCGGAAAGGAGCTTTGAAGCTATGTTAGAAAGAAAAGTTGTTTGTTTGCCGTGAACTTTCTTGGGGGACGGGTGAGGCTGGAGGTAGAAGGTTGGAGAAGGACAACATTTGGGATTCAATGCATCTACAAGGGTATTTTGACTTCAGGCGGGGTTATGAGAACCATGTCCAATGGTTTATACTTGGTTGGATGACATATGTATTGACTGGTGGTTGAAGATGGATAGTGTAACACTATCATATTGTATTAAGCACAGCCCAAGACTTTCACTGAAAGGATTCGACGATGAGTATCGTCTGAAGATGTCAATGGGGGAGATTTACCTACATACTTCGCTATTTACAACCCCTTTATCCCGAACTTAAGCCGAGATAGCCATGGCCTATCTGAATCAGTACTACCAACAATCAATAAGACATGAGATCCTTCAAAACAACAACCTCACATCAACGATAATTCTTTTAATTGATATTCGCATTTTCTTGATTAAAGATGGATCTCCAAACTACCATGAGCTCCTTTACTGCTCAGGACAAAGATCAAGAAGTTAGACCATCTTCAAGTGGAAGTTGGGCTTGCAAGGCGGTGGATGAATTCGATGCTTTGTGAATAAGTCTGAGACCTTAGACTGAAAGGAAATATACTGACAGTTGATTAGATCAATAGAATACAAGCCCAAGCCAATTGAAAAGTATCCAGGTTAGTTATCCATCCATTCATGAGCTTATCTAGAGCTTCCCCAGAGGAGGGGGGTGTGATCCTCACGGGACAACTGCCAAGTCTGATGATTGGTTCAACACGAGAATAACTCAAGACCTCGATTCGAATCATGTCATTCTTGTTCTGACAAGTCATATTAGCAAAACTCCATGCGCGGAATGTCAAAAAGTATCTTGATGTCGGCGAGGGTCTCATCTATCTTCCTGGTCTACCAAGTTTCAACTATGAAGACTCTGATATGCCACCTGCTTTCAGACAACGACGTTACTTCTATTATATCACTGGAGTGAATCTTCCTGATTGTATTGTCACTTACAACATCCATCGCGATCAACTATGGCTTTGGATTCCACCACCAAATTCCGGCTCATCCGTCATTTATAATGGAGCTCGTCCAACAGCCAAAGAGATCATGGCCAAATATGATTTCGACCATGTCGAAACATTAACTCATCTTGATTCATATCTCACTTGGTATGCACACACCGAACCTGGAAAAATTCATGTTTTACATGATTATCAAGCGCCAAAAAATATCGAACTTCAGATTACTCGCAAAAATGGATGTCATTCTATTATCAGCGAATCTCCATTCGATAGCTCCAGGTTAGAGGAGGCTATGAATACAGCTAGAGCCATAAAGACTCCGTATGAGCTTAGAATGATCCGGAAGGCAAGTGCAATCACAGCACAAGGTCATATCAATGTTCTCCGTGGTCTTCGTCATTTGTCCAATGAGGCAGAGATTGAAGCCATTTTTACAGCGACATGTATTGCCAGACAGGCGAAAACTCAAGCATACGGAGTGATTGCTGGCTCTGGAGAAAACGCAAGTACTCTTCATTATATGGCCAACAATGAACCTCTAAAAGACAGACAACTTCTGTGCTTTGATGCGGGATGTGAATGGGATTGCTACGCATCCGATGTGACTCGAACATTTCCAATCTCTGGAGAGTATACTGAGGAAGCACAAGCTATTTATGATATTGTGGCTAAGATGCAAGACGAGTGTATTGAATTGCTGAAGCCAGGTGCTAATTATCGAGATATTCATATACATGCTCACAAAGTTGCGCTCAAAGGTCTCATGGATCTGGGACTTGTAGAAGGTGGAACCTTTGATGAACTTTTCATGGCGGGTGTTTCGGTAGCATTTTTTCCTCATGGTGTTAGTACTATTTACTCCATTAATAATATCCAATCTGACTGATCATTTAGTTGGGTCATTATGTTGGTCTGGAAGTTCATGATGTTGGACCAGGTGGAAGTCGCATCACAAACCGTTTGTATGGCTTCACCAAAAAACCCGCCGATTGGACTGATGCCTACTTCCAAATCCTTTCCAACACTGGAGTCACTTCAGATGGTGGATCAATCCTCGAAAAGGATATGGTTGTCACAGTCGAACCTGGAATGTAAGTCTATCCCAGACCCCGTTATTTTCAACTCTGACGATGCGTCTCCAAGTTATTTTTCCCGATATGCTCTTGAAGAAGTTTATCTCAAATCTCCCAAATATGCAAAATACATCAACAAAGATCTCCTACAGAAATACTATCCAATCGGAGGTGTACGTATTGAAGACGATCTTTTGATAACAGAAGATGGATATGAGAATTTGACTACCGTTCCAAAAGGTGAAGAAGCATTAAACATCATCAATGAAGGAAAGAAACAGGAAGAAGGAGAGAGACAAGCGAACAAGAAAGCTACAGAGTCTAGAAGACAAAAGAAAACTTGGTTTTGGTAGATATTGAGTGGTTGAAGAATGGTAGAGGTGTAGAGGTGTAGAGGTGTAGAGGTGTAGAGGTGTATATTAGGCGTTACGTTACATTTTTCTCTTTCATCTCGAGATCCTGAAGGATGCTGGGAGCTTTTCTTTTCTTTCTCTTTTTCCTTGAACAATGTAGCGTGGATGGATAGCTTGGATACGACTCAATTCAACCTGTGGTCTATCGATCAAATACACCTTTTATTTTGAAGTATACTCATGAAAGAATTTATGTGTTTGTATGCTTTGTATGCTTTGTGTGGTGTTTACTTGAGAATTGTTGAAAGTCGATTCATTTATACAATGTCTGCAAAAAGGAAGGTTAGTGGCCTTGTTAGTAGAGATAATCACGACTCACTTGTTAGACTTGCAACGAACCAATTGTTCACCTGCAGCGAGCCTGTAAAACACCCCGATGGTTCAATCTACCACCCAGAAATCCAGCTCACCATATATACTATTGCTAATCTACTCAGTCCTCGCAGTCTATCCAATCTTTCTCCCCCTCTCCCCTTCAAATCCATCGACGCATCCATACATCCTTCTCAACATCCAAAAACAAACTTCCCAAAATATCGAGAGAAATCACCAAATATCCATAAAGAAATCCCCCCCCCCCTTTCCCCCCTCCACAAATCCATCCATACTATTCAGTCCAGTTCAATTCAATGCTCTTTGTCCAAAAATACACACTCTCTCTTTATTCTCTTTTTCCATTGTTCTACACCCCACAACCTTTTTATATAAATATCTATTCCCACCTGTCTCCTTTGTCTCTTTGTCTCTTTATCTGTACAAACAAATAACACGAAGAACGACCCCTTTGTCTTGGATTTTCTATATAAATCTCATTTGCGCCTTCTCTTCTCCCATTGTATTATTCATTTACAATTTCAAGGATCGAGTATTAAGTCAAGTATCAAGTAACAAGTCGAGTATTGAGTCAAATATTACACATCGAGTATCGAATCGGGTATTGAGTATCAAACATCGGACATCAGACATCAAGTCAAGTATCAAATATCAAATATCGAAGATCGAGCATCAAGTAATACCTACCCCAGAATCCCAACTATACACATCTTCGAAGAATTCAACCGTCGTTTATATATAGTTATATAGTCATATATATATATATCTCACTATCGGAAATCGAAACTCAACCCCCCCCCCCCCCCCCCCCCCCCAAATCAACACCACCACCCCTTCAACAACAAAAATGTGCACCTACACCACCGTCCACTACGCCTGCTCCCACACCTCTCACGGCTACCCACAACCCTGCTGGATCGCTCTCAAATCCGATTCTCTTCCACTTTCCCTCCCACTCTCCTTTCCCCTTCCGATTACCTGTCTTAAGAGCATTCAGACAGAGGAAATGTTGCCGGAATGGTGCTCGGGGTGTAAGGCGAAGGCTGCGATGGCGGCGGAGAGAGTGAGGGTGTTGTGTGCGGCGAGGGAGTAGATGGATAGGGTGAGATAGGGTGAGATAGATAGGTAGGTTGGTTGGTTGGTAGTTGGAGTTGGAGCGCTAGGTTTGTGATGGGATGTGTAGGATAGGATAGAATGGGATAGGATAACAAGGTTAGGTAAGTCAGGTAACAATTAACATTTTGATTTTTTAAACCCTAAAGTTTCAGCAATATGAATGAAGTATTTTAAGTACCAATAAATGATTGTAAATCTGTAAAATTTAATAAAATGAATCAAAGTGGTGTTTATGTATACTCAAGTAGATAAACCTAAAGCATCCCTCTCATCTTAATTTCAACTTCCCCTCATGTTCCTGCCAAAAATTTCTACACAATCTGTGTCCCCAATGCTCAATCCACCATTCCCCAAAACTATCCTCAACTTTGACATCTACTTTCAAAACTCTTTCTTCTCTCTTCAATCCACATATCACACACGCTTTCGGTGCCGTAAGTCCCCCTTCTTGACTCTTCACATGCATCGAATCTCCTATTTCTGGGATCGCTAAATGCTTTGATACATCTTTAAGACTTGTATTAGCTACAGCTACAGCCGATCGAAGCCTCCCCAATTGTTCTTTCCACACACGGATTGTTTCTTCCGCTTCACGATCTTCACGTGCGACTTCCGCTTTATCGACACCGGTCAATTTCATGCCGCCTTTTCCACCGGCAGGCCCAATGCTCATACCCTGCGAGAGATGAGTATCACGTTTCCAGCGTAATTTACGACCAGCGATGATATGGGCTGCAACAGTGGCAATGAGAAGGTAGGCGCGAAGAAAATTGATGGTGGAAGGATCGGATATGATGCGATTTTTGAGAGAGAATGGCTGGTTTGCTACGGCTTTGAAGAGAGATGATTGAGGAAGGTCGAAGAGCTGAGGGAAAAGCATCAAGAGAATCGAGGGAGGGGGAATGTTGGTAGGAGGTGGAAGAATGGGTTCCACTGGGGTAGGCTCGGTGACTTTATCGACGGCATTCCAGGCCCAAGCATCGGCTGCTATGCCAGATGTTGGATTTGCGCTAGGTATTGCCGGAGATTCGGCTGGAAGATCAGAAAAGTCACCCCAGTCATCGTCTATGTCTTGAACAATAGATGGTATAGCAGGCGAATCAACATAGGGTGTGGCTTTTGGAGGTTTCTCGTCATAAGATGGCCAAGCTGTCAAAGGAGAAGCTGATTTGGGTTTATCTTCGATCTTCATTTTGGTGACTTGTTTGATTTGTTGGGTAGCAAGAGCCACCTTGGGAAATGGATTCCGCTGCTGAAAGGAGGGTGATCTGGGTGCTTGTGGGTATGGTAATGGGGTTTTGAGAGTCGGTGACGTGGTACTGAGTTTAGGAGGCTCTTTTAATGCTTGTGCCTTGATACTCATTGAGCCAAAAAAGTCATCCAGGGGTTCTAAAGGTGGAGGTGGTTTTGATGATGCAGAAGGAGTGACGCTCTCAAAATCCCCAAAATCATCATCTTCTCCCCCTTCCTCATCGGCGTCAAAAAGGATTTCTCCACCTGACGAACCCTTAGATGGTGGTAGTGTTGGCCGAGGATAGGGATAGCTCATATGATTGTTCGAGGTAGACGAAGGCTCTGGCATATCATGAACATTATTGTTAAAAAGTTCAATGGTTGATCTGCGCACTATTCTCGGGTTTGGCGGAGCATTATCATTTTTGAATATGTTCCCGTGGTAATTGGATTTTGGTGCATTGATAGTTGGCTTTGGGGGAGTAGCCGTTATGCCAAAAGAACCCCATAAATCGTCTTGAGGAGTTCCACTTTGTGCTGGAGTCATTGGACTCGTGAAGCTATTCAAATCCCCCCAAATGTCATCATTTTGATTTGTAGTTTGCGCCGGTACCTGGTTTGCATGCGCCTGGCCTGGCCGGCTACTAGAGGTGGCACCATCAAACAACGAAAAACTCTGACTAGCTTGTGGTTGAGTATCTCGAGGTGATTTGTAAAATGTATCGAACTCGAGAAGATCGGAAGACATGGCTGTTGATGGGACAATTGCTTGTGAATTGTGAGTTGCTATTGCTTCATCGGCTTCATGAGTATCAGTATTTCCCAAGATGTACGGGCTGGTATAGCTCGTCTTCTCAAAGGTTGTACGTCGAGGATCGAAAGATGACGATGTCGAGAGATAGTTGGTTTCGCAATTCTTGTGACAATTGATCCGGTCCAGACCAAGACAATGGAGATTTTATATATCTTTATCCACACAAATTCCACATGGATGAAATGCACGACTTACTATATTTTATATTCTATTCTTATGTGAGCTTCATCTCAAAGCATGTGGATACTTCGTCTCAGGAAAATGAATACCAAATCACCATTTGGAGAATGCAACGGTTGGAGTGCATGAGATGATGATGATTGGGTGAAGAGTACGAAACATAATATTGAAGTACCTCATAATGTTGCTAGTGCGCTGTTCCATTTAGATGCGATGGAAGGCTGAGGCTGATGACAAGGCTGATGGATATGATTGTATTTGATTGGTTCATGCTGCTTGAAAATGACGCTAAATAAAACTTGGTCTAAAAGCAAAAAAGTACAGCTCAGCCTTGTCCCCCCCCACTCCATTATCATGATTTAAATAGTCCGAAAGATAGGAGTGTCGTCATAAACCTCCCTTTTTCGGACATCATATCTGCTCGTGATAATGAGGTCTTTGGAAGATTCCAGGTAAGAAACTCTATAACATTAGAAATCTTCTTCCTTTCTCTGCTCGTTATTGTTCTAAATTCTAATACAAGAGTGAGAAAAGAAAGAGATGGCAGGTGACGATAAAGTCCGCATCTAACTTGACCGAACTCAAGAAATCCGTCAGGATCGATGGAGAACACAGTCCTTGTAACGGGGGCTTGAGATCTATCTGCTGGAAGGCAAGTTCCAAGTTTCATCTTGGTGTACGCTTGAGTAACATTTTGATAGACGTTTTTATTGTTTCAAAACACAGAGATCACGGGTTGGGCACGAGGACTTGAAGATTCACGAAGTGCTTATACCTCTTTAAGACAACATTTCTTGAGATTTATCGAACATCCAAATGATCTAGGATCTTCCTTAGATCCTTTGGATGATGATAAACACGTGAGTTCTTTTGATTTTGTCTTTATGTATTCTGGGAATGTCGTCCAAATATACTGAGAGACTTTGAGTCACCATGGAATACCCTTCGGAAAGATGAAGAAATGCGTGCCGAAATATTCCAGGATATCGAGAGATGCATGCCAGAGGAGCCATACTTCCGTCGAGCCGACATTCAAAGATTCATGCTGGATGTGTTATTCATCTTTTGCAAAATCAATCAAGATGTAGGTTATCGTCAGGGCATGCATGAGATACTGGCTCCAATTCTATGGGTAGTGGAGCAAGATTCTATTGACCCTGGAGACATCAATAGTGACACGAGTGAATCAGAAACAGATTCATCAGATTCGGTGATGAAGCAGTGTTTGAATCGTAAATTCATCGAGCATGATGCCTTCACTCTCTTGTCTCTAGTCATGAGATCAGCAAAGTCATTTTATGAATTAGGTGACCCCGGTCAAAAAACACCCCAAATTGTTGGCGGAACACCTCAAAATGGCGCATCTCCTATTGTTGAAAGGAGTAAGCGAATTCATGAAGTATACTTGGCTCGTGTAGATCCGCGACTAGCCAAACATCTTACAGATATTGAGATACTACCACAAATATTCTTGATGTAAGGATAAAAATCCTTAACTTTGGCTACTGTTCATCTGTTGACGGATTATATAGACGTTGGATTAGGTTGCTCTTCGGGCGCGAGTTTCCTTTTGTTGACCTACTATCAGTATGGGATACTCTTTTCGCCGAGGATCCAGATCTAGATCTTGTGGATCTTATATGTGTGGCAATGTTACTTCGAATCCGTTGGCAACGTATGCAACTCACCTTCCACAGTTTGGTGTAATGACTAACTTATAATCAGTAATGGAATCGAACTACTCACTGGCTCTGATGCTACTACTCAAATATGAGTGCCCTCCAAATCCACAAACTTTCGTCGATGATGCTATCTTCTTACGAGATAATTTTAATGCCAGTGGCGGATCCACGATCATTCATAAGTATAGCGGGAAGTTCCCGCATCGAGATAAATCGTCGCCACCACCCGATGCTCCTATTGAAGAAAGTCTCAGCCCTAGACAGCTACTCATGCGAAATAGATCCTCATTGACTAGCCCTGCTCGGTTCTTGCAACAACAAGGAGGTGTTGAAGCGTTGATTCAAGGTGCTGCAAAAGGTGTTTACAATAGGGGAGAGCGTCTTGGCATCAACCAAGCTGTACGCGATGCGATGGAAGAAGTGAAGAAGAATATGCAAGGATTACAAACTCCAAGAGGTAACAATTCTCCTAGGAGGGCTAGTGGTGCTTCACGGTGGTCTCTTGACGATGGGCGTGTGATGCCTGCCTCGACAGCTATCATGGCAACAATGAACGAAAGAAACAGGCAATTGGCTGTCATGCTAGATCACGCAATGATAGATCTGAGATCTGTTTCGGTGTCAAAAGAAAGTAGCCGGGAAAAGTGCATCGAGGCAATGGACATGGCTATTGCGAAAGTTGATTTCGTAAAAGTTTACTTGGAGGACTCTACTATGCCACTTCCAATTCTTTCACCAATTATCGATAGTAGGAATGAGCCTGCTACCCCAGAAGCAGATATACCGAAAGTTTTATTACCACAAATGTCAGATCACAGGCAGACAACTTCACCAGAGACTCCCATCATGACTTCCGACCCAGGCAATGCTCTGGCAAAAGAGACAAATAACCTAGACGAGCCATCCATATCAACGCCTGAAATTAGTCAAACTCCAAGGGAAGCAATTGATCTCTCCTCAAACGAGCGGTCTACAATTATCGAACGCGACATAGAAAGAGATGCTATGAGATCTGCAACAACCAAGCGACCTAAAGCACCAATCCCCACTAGATCTTCGATTGCTCAGTCATCGTTCTCCTGGATGCTAGAACCAGATCAAGCATCTAGCCCCACGATAAAATCTTCACCTCCAAAGAGTTCTTCTCCATTTTTAAGAACCGGAAAGCGACCTACATCCGGTGCTGGTCGAGAAAAGGCAGCGTTTCTATTTGGGGATGATGATGGTGACTTCCAACTTCCAATACCCAAATCTCCAATGCCAAACGCCGAAGAAGCCTTCAAACTAGGAACGTTGAAACGAATAAAAGAAAAACAAATCTGTGGGAACACGGTTGAATAGTATGGTTATATTATCTCTTTTCGTCTATCTAACAACACACTTCATCATCGGATTTATCAGTAAACGCGAATCCATCAATATCTGAATCACGACGCGACATCGACTTGATCACTTGTTACAAGCCATCTATTAAATATGATAGAAAAAGAACGAATGGGGCGATCTCCTAACATCAGCTGGGAGCCTGACCTATTTCGAACGTCGGATGGTAGAACACTACTGCAAGCTGGCAATGCAGGTATACGCGAAATGTATGAAGCCTCCAATTCGTCTAGGTATTTTGAGTAACACCAGTTGAAACTGGCTACTCCTCATATTTCGTAATTGACCCCGACAATCCCTCGAAACAGGATTTGCAAAGCCCAAGACTAAAGAGCGTCATCGTCGGAATATGGGTCAGCGTTGTGAATATGGGAATGGGCATATGAGGCAGACAATATCAAAATTATTTCATATGAAGCCTCTGAACCTGTTCACTCGTACTTTCTTTGATATTGGTTTTACCATAGAGAGGAGTCATGTACAGGTGACTATGAGTCCTCTCTTCATCCGCGATTCTTTCCCTATGGAGTCCTCCTTTCTTCCCCTATGAAGCTCTCCTTTCATGTAGACAGAAGTATATAAAGTATTTGAATCTTGGAAGCTCCAGCTCCAGCTCCAGCTCCAGCTCCAGCTCTTCTTGATATTTGCCTTAGTTCGAACCCTTGAAATCCTGGGGGGATGATTTGCTATTGATCGTTCCAAGGCACACCAAGTAGATACAACATATACCAATGATATCAAGAGAATACCGTCAGCCTTTCTGTTATTGTTCTTTATGTAGAAAAGAGTTGGTGAAATTGGTGAAATGTGTACTTCATGCAGACAATCCAGCTACCTACCCAAGTATTTTGATACATGTGCCCCACCCTTTCTAAACCCACGGTCGGTGTGTCTCGAACAAACTTCGAACCCCGCCCTTCCAATAATTAGCGTCAAAATGATTCCCAGTAAAAAAAAGCAAAAGCACTTTCCAGGTTCACCAGCCATTCCTTCTCTCCTCTCCCCTCCACAAACAAAAAGATTCGTCCATTTCTTTCAAAGAGAAATATCAATCACACTTTCTCCTCCCCTTTCCTCTTTTTCCTCTCCCTCCTCTTCGTCCCTTCCCACTCCTCAACTCAACTCGCAACCTTTAGTCACCCCCCACTATCTATCGAAATCCCATCTTCTTTTCCCCTCTTCCAGGTCACTCGGACAACCCTTCATCCTCCTTTATCTTCCCGATAACACACCTCGAACTCTTCACACACAACTCCCTCCCACCACCAGTCTCTTTCTTGATATCTGCAATCAAGGTATGCTTTTATATTAATCCTCTCTCTTCTGCTCAAGTCGCAATGTGTGGCTGTACATTGCATTCCACTGGCGCATTCATTTTCGCATTCGGAGAGTGAGATATGTCATTGTCTGCGGATTATCACTTCTTTAATTTACAATTATCTCTCTCGAGTACTAATCTTCTATCAATCAGGTCTACTCAACATTACCTCACTCAACTTTCTATCCCCCAAAAGTTGAAACTCAAACAAATACAAAATGTCTTCTCAAGATCATCGCGACAATGCTCCTAACGGTGATGAGCTCAACGATTCCATGGATCGCTTACAAGTCAATGATGAGACTCGTCTTGGCCCCGATGGTGAACCACTCCCAAAGACCGATGAAGAATATGCAGAATCTCAACTCACCTTGAGAGCTATTGTTTCTTCAAAGGAAGCTGGTGTCATTATCGGCAAAGGTGGCAAGAATGTCGCCGACCTTCGTGATGAGACTGGTGTAAAAGCCGGTGTCAGCAAGGTCGTTCAAGGTGTTCATGATCGTGTCTTGACCATCTCAGGTGGATGCGATTCTATTTCCAGAGCTTACTCCATTGTTGCGAAGGCTTTGTTGGAGGGCGCACCACAGATGGGAATGGGCGGGGTCGTTTCTAACAACGGTACTCATCGTAAGTTACATTCCATGCCATTACATGGACACTTAGTCTAATTGTACTATCTAGCAATCAAGTTGTTGATCTCCCACAATCAAATGGGTACGATCATCGGTCGACAAGGACTCAAAATCAAGCATATTCAGGACGTTTCTGGTGTTCGCATGGTCGCACAAAAAGAAATGCTCCCACAATCCACCGAACGTATCGTGGAGGTCCAGGGCAACCCCGAAGGCATCCAAAAAGCCATCTGGGAAATCTGTAAGTGCTTGGTTGATGACTGGGCTAGAGGAACCGGTACTGTTCTATATAACCCCATGGTTCGCACTCAAACCGGTAACTCGGGTGTTATGGGCCAAGGCAACGTTGGAGGAACTGGTCGTGAGTATGGTAGCTCACGTGTCATGCGCACTGGAAATGGTGCCGACTTCAGTGAGAGTGCTCCACGATCATACAACCGCCGTTCTGAATCGGATGCTGCTCAACGTGGACCCCCTACTCACGATGAGAACGGAGAGGAACTTCAAACACAAAATATCAGCATTCCAGCTGACATGGTTGGATGTATCATTGGTCGGGCTGGTTCCAAGATCAGTGAGATTAGAAAGACCTCTGGAGCTCGTATTTCCATCGCTAAGGTAAGCTTTCTTTATCTCGAGAGAGTTCGAAGCTCCACCACAAATATATCACTACTGACATATACATTAGTCTCCTCACGATGAGACTGGAGAGCGCATGTTCACCATTATGGGTACTGCTAAGGCCAACGACTCAGCTCTCTATCTTCTCTATGAGAACCTCGAGGCCGAGAAGCAACGCCGCAGTCAAGGCAATGCTCAAGAATGAATTACTAGCTCTATTTGAGCACATCGAATTTCGTTTTCAGGCAGGCAAGCTTTGTCTCAGGTCTATCCAGATTTGACTTGCCGCAAGGCTGATATTGATGCGATGATTCTACCTTGGGATTCGTTGGTAATTTTTCCTTGGACCGATATTCCCTTCCCCGACAAAAGCAGTCCCTTTACCATTTTCATTTCCACTTCTTGCGGCACGAAATTTTACGAAATTATGCTCATTTGCATGGTGCACATACGAGTTGCCCTTATGCAAATGTCATTCCCCTATTGATACAAATGATTCGCCTCAACATTCGACAACCAGAGATACCGACCTCCTATCTCGACTCAGCTTTCCGAAGTCCCCAATCGAACGAACGAGAATCGACCTAATCTCGTCATTCATGCCGGCTATGACCTGATAATTCTCTTAAGTTACGAATCATGATATGCACATTACCCGTTAAATCATATGCACTCGACACAAGTTTCCCATTCGTCTTCCACATCGCTCCTTCGAACACCAATACGTCCGCAACACAAATAGCCTTACGTCTTCTCGACTTTGATCTTATACTACGAAATAGGCTCATCAACACATCCAGATCTGTTCTGAGAATGTAGTAGATAGACCATGGAGTAGATCTAGAACAATACGAGTATTCCGAATAATGAATTTATTAAAAATACATGGAATGGATGCAAGAATCTCAAAGTGAATTTAAGCCCATGTGTCCAATTGTAATTCATCGTGTGCTCTGTATTTTCTATAGTTTATGACCGGAATCTGTACCAGTATATTCCAAAGTTTGCTTTGGGGTATCCTTTCCATTATATCCCATTCACCCTCTACTTCAACATTACCACTTCCTATCGAAACCCTTTTCCTTTGTAAAACATCATCCTCTGCCACCATTGTAATCTGCACCTCCTGCCTTCCTACACAACTTGACGATCTCTGCCTCGTCCACATCCTCCATACTTCTCGCATCTATCGACACACTGTGGTGATTCAAGACGGACTTGACAGCACCACTCTCAATGCTAACTCTGGCCTTCCTCATAACTTTTGTCTGTTCGCCAATCCACGTAATAAAAGCGAATTTCACCCTTGAAGATTCGCTGTCATTGGCATATTCAATCCGTAAATAGGCATATTGGGCTTGGGTGGGATCCAATTTCTCACGTAGTTCGGAGATACCGCCCTCTCCAGTTGCAGTGAGGGTCAAAGCATCGCCTATGGCTTTGGCATAGGATATCAAGAGCCAATTTGTGGGGGATTTGTCGGAGCGAACATCGTCGTAGGCGGCCAGAATCTCGGGGGAATTTGCGTTGGACATTTTGAATTGGAGACTGGGCTTGGGTTTGAGGGAAAAGGAGGCGCTGAGAGGATGATTGTGCGGGGTGAATTGGTAGGAGAATCGAAGGGTTCGTGAGGTGAAGTAGAACAGTGGGGTTTCGGTGAGTATATATATATATATATATATGAATGTCTATTTACACTTTTGGATCGAGTGGAAATATGACGTTTCGAAAGGTTTAGGAGTGAAGTTTAAGTAAGGTAAGTGTGTCTTGTCTGTCGAGTTTCAACACTTATTATACTCTCATGGAAGGAAGAGAAATGCAGATGTAAAGCAAAATACTCGACTGAGGAAAAAGCACCAGAGAGAAAATATGAATGGGAGAGACCCACGGAACAACAAAGTGCCAGCTAATCCATAGGGACCCTTTCATAACTTCTTAGCTACCAACCTACCTAGAACAATTGCGGATTGAAACTATTCCATGTTTGAATGTGAGGGGATCTGACCGCCTTTATTTTATTTTATAGTATTATAATGCAGATAGGTAGGTAGAGTAGGTAGAGTAGGTAGATCCAATAGATCTAGATGTGAGATGTGGCTTGTTGCTACTACCTCGGACCTTCCTAGGGAAACCTTGGAAATAGTTGAGGACATTTGGCAATTGAAAATATACACATCTTTATTGATTTACCCATTGCACGTTTCTACTCTGCTTTCTTTTACACTCCTTTCTTTTCTTCTCTTTTCTTTTCTCCTCTCCTCTTCTCTTCTCTTCTCTTCCCTCTTCCTTACCCTTCTTGATACCCATTTGTCTTGACTATTTCTTCGGGCCTTATCCCTTACTTTCATTTCATTTTGCAACCGCCCTTTCTGATTCCCCTAATTGCCAAAAGATGGCGAGAACAAAACAAGCAGAACCTTTGCGTCGCAATCCATCTTCCGAATATACGAGTAAAGCAGATGCGACCGGGGCGAGAACTTTAAGTGCTAAGAAATCGAATAAGGGACTAAATGGGAATGCGCCGACACAGAATGCTGCACTTAGAAGTGATGCGCTGTTGAATGGGAAGACACAAAAAGAAGCTGGCGCATTGCAGTTGATATTCGCAGTTGCTGGAATTTACGGCAGTTTGTGAGTGAAAGCGCCAAAGAAGACTCTCAATGGTCTTGATCAGAGGAAACAATAATGCTAATAGTATAAATGTATAGTCTTACTTGGGCACTTCTCCAAGAACGACTCACTACAACTGCATACGGGTCAGAAAAAGCACCTGAAAAGTTCAAATTCCCCGTCTTTCTCAATACGGTACAATCACTTTTCGCTGCCACAGTAGGCTACATTTACCTACGATTCGATACTCCCGCCAATAGCAAAACGCTACCCATCTTCCCAAGTCGACGGATTATCTTTCCCCTTCTCGTCGTGGCCATTACCTCCTCACTCGCCTCCCCCTTTGGCTATGCATCTCTTGATCACATCGATTATATCACTTTTATTCTCGCCAAATCATGCAAATTACTACCAGTCATGTTTCTTCACATAACTCTCTTTGGAAAACGCTACCCAATTTCTAAATACATCGTCGTCTTAGCCGTAACTTGCGGTGTCGGTATCTTTACTCTCCATGCAGGTGCTAAATCTCATGGCAAACCTAGCAAAGCGGCACTTAATCCAGATCGCAATACTGCATGGGGACTTTTGCTCCTAGGAGTAAATCTTCTATTTGATGGTCTCACAAACACAACACAAGATTGGATCTTCACAAGCTTCCAACCTTATAAAGGTCCACAAATGATGTGTGCGAATAACATTATAAGCACTTTACTTACAACATCATATTTGTTAGTGTCACCATATCTTGTTCATACTGGATTGGGAGAGTATTTGGGTATGGATCTTGCGAGTGGTGCAGGAGAATTGGCTGGAGCATTGGCTTTCATGCAGAGACACCCAAGTGTTTGGAGAGATGTACTTGGATTTGCAGCTTGTGGTGCTGTGGGACAAGTTTTTATCTGTAGGTTTCCCACTTTTATTCTTTCTTCTATTTGATCAAGACCTCTATTATCTTAAGAATCAAACTAACATCTAAAACAGTTTACACACTTTCAACCTTCTCATCTCTTCTCCTAGTAACCATTACTGTTACTCGCAAGATGCTCACTATGATCTTATCAGTGGTATGGTTTGGTCATACACTAGGTAGTAAACAGTGGATGGGTGTAGGATTAGTATTTGGTGGCATTGGTGCTGAAGGTGTCATTGCGAGAAGAGAAAAGGCAGCCAAGGAAAAGAAGAAGTTGGCCGAGTCGAAGAAGGAGTTGTAGACGCGACGATGAGTGTAGGATATTTGAGTAGTCAGATGATTTCAGAATTCAAAATCAACTATCCAGGATTGATGGGAGGCGTTTGGGTTATACAGTACCATAATTGTTGGTATTGGTGAGGAAGGGTTAGAATTTTATGGGGAATTAGAAATAGATAACTAAAGAAGGTTTTCGCATCACCAACATTTGGCTTACTATGGATACCAACGTATAACAAACAACTAACAATGGAAATCTCATTTAAACCACTGGTCAAAGTGTCACGTTTACCTAGTGGTGATGTGCTGTGCCGTAAAGTGTGGGTATAGACTTCACTTGTATATCATACAAAGCTCTCCTTGTGACTTGTCTTCTGGAAGTGAATTGCTCATATTTAAATCTCATACTAGCATTTCAGGGAAACAGAGATATAACAACGATGGTTGATGAGAATCTGGAAATGCAGGAGGTGGAACATGATCTCGTGATTGTTGGAGCAGGTATGCACTTTTCTTCACCTCAATCATTTCAAGCTTTCCAAGCGTATCTCGTCACCCTTTGAATAAATTCTAATTCATGCGCTTTACTTCTCTTTTCTTCTCCGAACCGTTCGGCTGGTTATTTGCTGGTATACCGCGCCCCAAATAGGTCCATCCGGCATAGTTTTAGCTCGCTTCTATCTCTCTATATATCCTACTCATCATCTCGCTATCCTCGAACAAGAAGATGTTATTGGAGGGGTCTGGAGTTCCGGTATTTTCTCTCCTATCTTGTTCCCCCCCTGAACCACCCTCCTTTCACATCATTTCACACGTAGTAATCCTAATCTCCATCCACAGCACGTCAATACCCAGGATTCCGCTCCGAATCCGGTCTTCGCATGAGAGGTTTCTCGGATATACCTATTGTTCTTCCTCCAGATGCAGAGACATATCATGATACATTTGAAGCGGAATATGTGACAAAGTATCTAGAAGGATATGTACATGTACATGTTTACAACGAGAAGAGTTTGAGAGATCGAGTAATCTTTGGGTTTAAAGTAGGAGGGATTGAGAAGATTGATGGGATTTGGTCGGTTTGGAGTGAAGTTGTCAAGAATGGAAATGGGAATGAGTATAAGAGAATCATCAAGACCAAAAAGTTGGCGATAGCCACTGGTCAGAATTCTCTTCCTTATATCCCGACATTTCCTAACCAAACGAACTTTCAATCTCCTATCGTCCATCAAAAACACTTTAGACAAATATCCACATCAGCTCTAGCGTCAGATTTCCCCTACACGGCAGTAACCATTCTTGGGGGAGGTAAATCCGCCGCAGATATGGTATACGAATGTGTGAAAGCCGGCAAAAAAGTATCCTGGCTCATTCGTCAATCGGGCGAAGGACCCGCCATCTTCGCCGGCGCGAAAGGACGAGGCCAGTATCGCAATAGTGCGGAAATGTCTGCCACGCGAGCCTTTTCCGCGCTAAGTCCCTCGTGTTTCGCGGAGCAGACTTGGTGGTCTAGATTCATTCATCGCTCGAGGATAATGAATTCCATCGTATCGAGGATATGGAAAGGCGCGGATGAAGAAGCTACCAAGCTTGCAGATTTCGAAAGAGAAAATGCGCTACCCGGGTTCGAGGGCTTGAAATTCGAAAGTCAAATTTTTTTGGTGTAATGGCCCACTGGGACTTATCCACCACGATGATTTCTAGGATACGGTGGCGAGGAATGTGAGGGTTTATCGGGGGGGTATTGCACAGCTGGATGCTCATGCGATTGTGTTGGATAATGGGACGGTCATTCATACAGATATGTTATTGTGTGGCACGGGCTAGAAGCGCGGATATCCCTTTTTGAGTCCTGCACAAATTCGCGAATTTGGTTTACCGCATCCGGGAATCGAAGATTCCGAAGAAGAAGCGCGGATTTGGGATTCTTTGACTGAAAACGCAACACGAGAAATCCTTACCTCGTTCCCGAAACTGCGAAATCCGCCAGATTCAATGCATACCCAGGGCCAGAAAGAAACTACTCAAGCCATTCCAAGCACCCCCACGCGTCTCTACAAATTCCTCGCTCCCCTCAACGATTTGCCAGACCCCTCTCTCGTCTTCCTCTCTCACGTCCACCTCTCCAACGCCTTTCGTCTCGCCGAAGCCCAAGCTCTCTGGACCACCGCCTATTTCTCTTCCCATCTCTCGCTTCCGGGCTTGCGAGAAGCGAGATGTGAAGTTGCGTATCAGAATGGGTTTTCGAAATTGAGATATCCGGCGCATGGGGAGGGGGGAAATTATTTTCATGTGGATTTGGTGGGGTACACGGATGCGTTGGTGAGGGAGGTGGGGTTGGGGAGTTATAGGGGAGGGGGGGTGTGGAGGGATTGGGTTAGCACGTGTACGGCGCGGGATTATGGGGGGATGAGGGAGGAGTTTTTGGGGAGGTTTGGAAAGAGTGTGTGGAGTGAGAAGGAGATAAAGGAGGAGGAGGGGGTGGTTGGATAGGTGTAGGATGTACATTTGGTAGTTGATGATTTGTGAGAGTGATTTATTTATGTTTTGCTTTTGGTTTTGATTTTAGAGAAGATTTACTTGATCTTGTTCCATTTTTCTTTCGTCTCATATTGAGATTAATCTTCTGTAGTCTGTAGATAATACAATGAATATTTTCAATACTCAAAGTTTTCATTAATCTATCAGAGCAAGTCCCTGCAGTACCATCTCTGTCTTCATCTCCATCTCCGTTCTCATCCCACTCCCTTTCGCAATCCTAATCTCCCTCTTCGAACCATCTGATCTCCCACATCCTCCCAAAAACCACACACCCTTCGAAATCCCAATGTATTAAAAAGAAAAACAACGCAGAAAAACGACTCCACACCTGTCATACCTACCCACTTAACTACCATACATACCTAATCTCAAATTCTCAAAATAAACCTAATAAAAACATCATATCCCAAAGACTTTAAGGGTTAACGCATACCTACCTACTTATCTAATACTCATGTATTAATAACTATACTTACTAATTTGTAAGTAGCTTAAGCGAATATACACTGGGTTTGTGTTTGTCTTGGGGGGTGGATATGGATAAGATTTGATTTGATTTGGAATTTGGAATTTGGGATTTATATTTAGATGAGGATGGAGAAGGAATTGAAAAGAAAGAGAAGGAGGAAAAGGAAGAATGAATAAATTGAGAAGTTGGAGTATGTTATAAGAAGGAATACAGATGAGATGAGTTTCGAAAATAATTATAAATGTAAATATAACCATATAAATAAACAAAATCTCGCAGTAAGTAAGAAGCGCAGTATGCTCTAATTTATTTAGTATATCAAATCTCTTGAAGAAGGATAACTCGAAACGAGAAAGTTGAAGGAATGTTAAAAGGAGTTCTTATTTTCATTTTATTATTTACAGAGTTCCTTACTTTCCCTTCTTTTCCTTGTATCTTGAATCGTCAGATCGGGATTTGATAATGTAATGAATATATGATGAATTGGTTTAAATGTTAATAGGATTGATACCAAATTTTCAGTCTAGTTGCCTACCGACCTCCTTACTTTTATCAGAACTTATCCGAGAAATCTCAACTTGCCTCGCTTGCTTCGCTTGTATAAAAACAAACACTTACATCATTTAAGCAAGCTAATCAAGGTTTCATCTCTTTCATTCAGAGATTCCACATACGTAGATAGTGTTTCCAATTGTCAAATTTTCACGCTGCAGGTTTAATTTTGAGTTTGAGTTAGATAGGTAGGTAGGTAGATCGGTGTGTGATTTTAATAATTTTAGAGATGTATTTTTATAGGTATTTTGATATTTGAGGAAAGTTTTAGGTATTTAGTGTTTAGAAGGGGTTGAATAGAGTTAAATGAAATATTCTAGGGGTTGTGATTGTTGGAGTGAATGAGTGAATGAGTGAATGGAGTTTGAGTGATTTTGGAAACTTTAGAGATCTATTTTGATATTTTGATAAGTTTTAGGTATTTAATGTTCAGTGTTTAGAAGGAGTTAGGGTTAGATGAGAAGAGTTGAATGGAATAGGCTGGAGTTTGTGATTTGTTGGTTGAAGTGAATGGAGTGAATGAATAAAGTTTGAATAAACTATGATAATGGAATGCTCTGCTGGAGAATTGCTGGGAAGCTAGGAAGCTAGAAAACCAAATCGCCAAAGGGAATATAGAGGATTAATGAATCACAAACGGAAGAGGGAATATTAAACCCTATTACTCAAATATCCGAATTTGCAACTAAGAAGAGAAAGGAAATAGAAAGGAGAGAAGAGAGAGGGCGCTATATCAATTTTTCTATTTCAAGAGATATAAGATCTGTAATCATAGTCCCTGTGGTGGCAGATTCCATACTTGACAAAGTGTTCATTTTGTTAATGTAATAAAATCCTCAATATTTTAATACTATATTGAATAAATTATTTCTATTTTACTGATCTGATGAAGCTTTTTATTATATATAATAAAGCTTATTCTAATCTATAAAGTCTTAATGAATTTCTTGGATTTTGAACGTTTTATCGAAAACTTTAGTCTGAAATAACAATTTGATATATAAAAAGTTTCTAGATTTTACCTATTTTTCAATCCCCTTTCCCCTTTCCCTTTTAAAAGCTTACTTTCAAATCTATAAAGATCATACCTATTTTTATACTCTGAATAAATAATAGAGTTGCTTATTTACTAATATAATAATAAAAAGTTTTTAATAATTCCTAATAACATAATATATATAATATAAAGATTTTCGAAATAAATTCGAATTCTTATTACAATTTAGATATATATATATATACATATTAGAAATGAATAGAATTCCTATTTGTATAATACATTCTGTATTTATAATATAATAATAAAGTTTGTAATTAAAGAATAGTTCGAGAATGATTTATTTATAAAGATTTCATTTCTCTTTAAACTTTCACTCAATACTTCTCATCCTTCTCTTTAACTTCCTTCTTTTAAACCTTCTCTTTTTAATTATTATACATATACCCTTTCGTTTACTTTTCCTATAACTCTAATATTCAAAAATCTTGAAATCTTAAAGACCTTTCAGAGTCCTTATTTTCTTTTTTTTAATTAAAATTTAATAATAAATAAATCACTACAAAATGAACTAATTATATTTATTATTAATAAAATGAATACTTCGTTTATAATCAAAAAAATATTAATAATATAATATATACTCCAAAAATTTACATAAGAATTTATATTGAATTTCTTTTCATCTGGAATATTAACTTTGTTATTATCAGGAGTATATATGAGAGATGAGATGATCTAGTGTTCTGTCTAATATTCTAAGATCTAATAGAATCCCCTTTCATGTTTTTACAAAAGTAGTTATGCAGAAGATCTGAGATATTTCTATGCAGACCGTGCAATTCAATAAAAGTATATCAGCCGTAGTATCATCTTGACATAGGGATTGGTTTTCTAACCCCGTTTGACTTTCAAATAGTTCAATTCCTTCGCATCATTTGAATTAGAAACCCCATCTTTCAAATTGCACTTTTTTGTTCCATATAATACTAGTAGCAGCATGATAACAGAAGCCCCTGCTGTTCTCAGCGTGATATTCATCGAGAAGATTATGCAAGTCTAAAAGCCTTCCATTCCCATCCAAGCATTTTCCCAATATCCATCACGCTTTTTCTTTTCCATTCCTCTTCGTCTCTCAGTCGCGATTCTAGTTCAATCCTGCATACGTCGATACGCTCAAAAGTGGTCGAATCTGAGGTTTCGCCAAGCAGCATCATATGAACATCGTTAGAACTAATCCAAGAAGGTTCTGTCACCGAAGCACATATCCATACCTTGAAGACATACTCCCCATTATCCGTAACATTCATCCCCTGCTCTTCTGCCAACCTCAAAAGCCAATGCATTGTCACCAAGTCTATTTCATACTGACCGCAAATTCTCCACCTCTTTGTGTTATTTAAGCTAACTGGAATACGGAGATGTGTGATCCACCCAACAACATGGAGATAGTGCACATTTCCCATCAGCATAGCATTTTGCACAATATCTGCAAGATCCGCTTCGCGAGACCAAGAGAGTATAGTTCCGCTCTCAAATTCCAAGCCGAGCGCCATGTCATGCACCATATCTCGCCTCAAGGGCCCTTGTCTTAGCTTAGTTCTTTCCCATTTGATCGGACAAAGCGATGGTGAAGCCTGTGTCCACTCACACCAGGTCCAACTGGGTAAGGTCCGGCTTCTTTTTGGTACAGCCGCCTTGGGCGACGTCCTCGGGGGTCTCGAACTTCGTATCGAAGCGCCATGTAATACCCATTATTAGTGGACTGGTAGTATTGATATTGAGGTATTCACCACTGAGCTCAAAGATCGGCACTCCAGATATGTGTCCATGAAAGTCTGGCCACTCGGATTTGAACATACCCAAGATGCCCAAAAAAGCAGGCAGAACGTCAGAGTCTTTCGAGAGTTGCCTCTGAGTATAAGCGTTTACCTGCTGTTGGAATTCAGATAATTTATCATTGATGGAGTATTTTGGTCTTCGGGAGAATATGATTGGGATGCGGTTGTTGCGCTTATATTTTCGTTCCTTCTTAAGAACATAGTTCCCAGGACCACGTTCCCAAAAAGGATACTCTCTAGCACCTTCTTCCTTAAGAACATAGTCCCCTGAACCATATTCACTAAAACCATAGCCTCTAAGTCCATAGTCAATGCTTTCCATCTGACTACCCTCTGCATCACATTGGAAATAACACTGCGTCTCCGTAAATACGAGTCTTCGCCTTGACAACAAAGCCTCTTGATAAGTCCACCCGCGCGTATTCCACACTGACTGTTCGACTTCATTCTGGATATTACTGATCAACTGCACTAGATGAACGGAGTTCAGTTGCAGGGATTCTTGCGAAACCACTCTGGGCCTGGTAATCCCAGCGTGTCCTTCACTCGGACATTTGGTAGTAGCGGTGATTATCGTGAGAGTAGATTGTGAATAGATCTTACCCATATTCTGAAGGAGAAGAGATTTTACACCAGAGGAATCAGTTTGAGGAACACAGTATCGATCAATCCACAGGTACCTATAGCCTAGAGATATGACAACCTTGATGACACCGGTTATAAGATCCGGGAGAGTGGCCGGTAATCTTCCCCACTAATCTGGTCCATCTGATACCTCACCACCCCAGACATAGCTCAGTGTGATGTACTTCATTTAGGCCGTACCTGGCACTAGGATATTTCTCCCGTCCTCACAGTCGATCACCATGAAGCCTTGAAGCGGAGCACCAATCTTTGGCATGCAATCAAAGTCAGAAATGATATGATTTTCATCGCACAGCCGAATCCATCTTCGGACAAGAGACAAGTCGGCATTCGAGGAGAGGCGACGTACAGCTACTCCATCATCGTAAGCATCCACACCTGAAAAGCCGAAGACGGTATCATGGGTATTTTCCCTAGGTAATCCGAATCCTTCATGACTATAGATCGGCATAATATCAGATGTAAGGTAAAAAATAGGACTCTTGTCCAAGGTGTGCCTGAAGCGAAGCATGCATCCTACAGTTGACCTTGCAAGGACATAACTACTAACCACGCGTTTATCTTTTCCAGGCCTGATAGAATAAAGAAACTTGCAGATCTTGCAACTAGGGTCGAGTTCTTCAACTTCAAATTTGCAAATCGACTCAAATTTGCCGACCTTGTCTTCTATCCACATTTCTTTAAATACTTTTGGTTCCAGGAAGAACCAGCCTACGATCTTGTCACACCTCTCACAAAGACCACGTATATCAGCTTTCTTTCCAGCCGCCAAAACAGGTGCCATTCGTCTCTCCATGTCCATTTTGCGCTGGACGCTATGATCTGAGGGTTTGAATATGGCAGTTATAAAATCCATTGCAAAGGAACCAGGATTTCAGGATAAACAACGCTCAAACATCTCACAATTCCTTAACCTCCCAGAATACTTTAATTGAGAGGTCCAAAATACTGTCGAAATCGACATGATGCAAAGTTTAGAAACAAAGTGCTTTTTGGTGTCTCAGCCTTGTTGTCCTGCTAGAGGCGGGGTAGGTATTCTCTGCTTACGATACGACACGTCTTCACAAGCCAAAGTGTAACCACCAACTCAGTCTTCCTAAATGATCCCAGAAATCCTACCCTATGAAATTCTCCACTTCAGAATCGCCAAATGAGATGGCATTCCATCCCGTATTAAATCTTCTCATACCGATTCTACATAAGTCTAGATCTCAATACAACATACAATCTGTAATCTCGAATTTGAAAAACATAGGAGGAACTCATAATTCATGTGTTTACTAATATAGTACATTACACGAAAAACTACTCTCATATCTTCAAAAAGTTGTTTAATTACTCTCATACTCCTAATTAGAAGAGAATTCACTCTTATACTCCTTAAGTTCTATCGTTAGAAAGTAGATTCTATAAATAGATCACTAGACTTCCTTTGAATTGTTCTTCTTTTCCCCCTGATTATTATAAATTAGAATCTATAATAAAATCCAAGGAGTATAAGAAGAAAACAAATATGAGTTTCAGAGTAAAAAAGTAATTAAATAATGTTTGAAAATATAAGAATAATTTTATATATATTATATAATTATTACGGAGGTATTCGCATCGTAATATGAATTATAATATAAATACAAGTCCTTTATATTATTACCTATAAGAACAACATCATAGGAACTATATAATTAGAAGAAATCTGTCTTTATTAATATCTATTCTATAATAAATATAAAATAAATAACAATTATAGATTAGCTAGTAAGTATAGGTTAAACAAATAATAGTATTATTATAAGTTATAGAGAAAGAATTATATAATAAATAAAAAGAACAAATAAACTATTTAGGACTATTTACAGATAAATAAAATAAATAGACTATTCAAACTATTTAATAAAAATAAAGGCTTATATAAGGAAATAGGTTTTATTATAATATAAAGCTTCGTACTTAAAACAATTATTAGTTTTGTATTATAGTTATGTTACGGGAGCTGCCTCTAGAATCACGTGGAAGTGTCTAGAGATCTCTCAAGATGATTTAAACTAAACTTCAAGTAGGAATTCAATAAGGTTATAACTAATTGCAATTCTCATAATTATAGTAATGAAACTAATAATTGTTTTTGAATACGAAGCTCTATATTATAATAAAACCCGTTCTCTTTATATAGATCTTCCTGCTTTACAGAACTTATGATTCTGTTCTACTTGGATCCCTTAAATCCTAAGCTCCAAAAGCTCCTGGCTCCTTGGATCCTAGGCTCCAAAGGCTCTAACGTCCTATCACATGACACTTATCACGTGATCCAATGTTACCCGTCGTAACAAGTTATAAGAATTACAATCATTTAACCTTATTGAATTCCTATTTGAAGTCTAGTTTAAACTACTTTGAGAGATCTCTAGACACTTCCATGTGACCCTAGAGGCAGCTCCCGTAACAATACTAAATCTAAATACCTCGAGTTAGAATCGCAACTATACAATTCAAATAGTTATAATACTAACATCCCGATACTACTATAGCAATAACATTAAATCGTTACCATCTGAATTAGCTAACTCGTTGTTGAATGGATTCACTGTCCTACATGCGCACTAGCTTAGCATGGGTCATCAAGATATGTATCTTCTCTTGATTCCATATCCTTAATATGATAGTTATTACAACGCAAGCCTCCGTATATGTATAATTTGAAACGAAGAACGAAGAAGAAGCCCACTCGAGTAGGTAGCTAGCGTAGCCCCCTCTCTCACCTCCAACATTTGATCTGAACCACTCATGAATAATTCAGTCACTCTATACAAATCAAAGATTTCCAAACATATAAATGAAGAGATAAATTACTCTCGTACTACCAAGGGTCTAATATACTACTATTATCCCCTAGACTGTCTGGGTGGTCCGTGCAATATACCCTGTATGAAGAAGTCTGATTGATCAGATTGAGTTTTCAATGCTTTTTCAATCACTTTATTTATAAAATAGGATTTTGATTCTAAATCTTGATTTTCTTAATCATAGAAGTATACAAGATTAAAAATTAATAAATATCATTATACTTAAAATTTTGAAATAAAATATTATGAAATAGATTTTATATTAAAGATTGAATATGAATATCTGATTAAATTTCGAGAATCCTAATGATCTGATTGATCAATAAGTTCCTATTAAGCGAAAGCGCCTTGAGTTGACAGTCTAGGAGATACTGTATACTTGTTACGATTAGGATATCGATAAAGGTCAAACAACTAGAACAAGAAAGCTAAAGAGAGGAGAGATCCTTAAGAAATCTCTTCATCTCTTATATAGTAATAATCGCTTAGTTCAAGCTAGTCTTGAACTAAGGTATGCGTAATGAGTAATTACAATGTCATGTGTTATTCGTTACAGTACTAAAATCGATATCTCTTTATATTCATATCACGTAGATTCTACTCTATCATACCTAGAATCTATATATAGATCTCTAGCACTCAAATACAGATTCTAGCGCTCTATTATAAATACTAGTCTTTAATTACAAACTCACTTCTAGTGACATTGAGGTAATCGACAAATTAACGTAAGTCATGGCGTAATGCGTCTAATTGCGGGGAACCACTCTATTAAAATCTCAATTACTCAACAATCAACTATAATACAATCTCCAGTATCACTTTCAGATTCATCTTCAACTTCTTCTCCAATATCCTCTTCAGTTTCAGTTTCATATTCAATTACTTTCCCTTTCCCTTTTCCTTTTTTCATTGTCTGTACCTTAGTAGCTTTTTCGACTTCCACTACTGCATCACATAATTCTTGCGTAGAAATATGAAAATGACCCTTCAAAACTAGTCTCTTTCCTTTCTTACGTATCGTACGTTTCTTAATAATAGCTCGTAAATTATTCGCATCGTGTTGGTGAACAATACTTTGAGCTCGAAGTTGCTCACTCCCAATCGTCAATTTTCGAATGTATTGACGAACCGGGGTTGAAAGAGTCGTATCATTTTCAATTGTTGAATTTAAAAGGTTATTTGCTGTTTGTAAGATTGCTACATCCGGGGGTGAGCTATTGACGAAGACTTGGTTAAAAATATCAAATTGGGTTGGTTCTTTGGATATTTCGACTTCGGGGGTAAACTCTCGACCCAGTGTACGGAACACTCTCTGTGGATTAAATGGATGTAACCCAGCTCCCCGCCATGCCGATTCGATATTTTGATGATGGCATACGTCGGCTCGAGCTTTAATATATGCCTCCATCCATTCAATCTTTTGTATTCGTACAAGTTGAGCTTGATTCAAATCAGAAAGTGCTGCGGTGAGCCGTTTTTTCAATGGACCGAAAACCGCAACATCAAGTGGCTGAAGCAAATGCGAGGTATGAGGAGGAAGTATAAGAAGTACAATTCGATTTTGAAGGCAGTGAGCTATAAAGCTTCCACTAATATGAGAATCGTGGCCATCGCAGATGAGAAGCCGATATTTGCCACCTGCTTTTGCACGAGTTGCAGGTTCGAAAACGCGTTTTAGCCATTCTAATCCATGAAGATTGCTTGTCCAGCCCTTTGTATTTGCTGAAAAGAACCAGCTACCAAGAACTTCCTTCGGAATCCAATTTTGAAGGACATTTTTACCTTTAAAAATCCCGAGTGGTGGAAGAATGGATCCATCCGCACAAATACACTCTACCATTGAAATCCACTCTTGACGGCCTGGATGTGCTTGATGTTTTGTACGAAGTGTAGAATCGATAATAATTCGAGTTGATTCCATTGTCCCAATTGAATGTCCAGATTCATCCATATTATATTCGTCTTTCTTCTCAATTCCATAATCCTGAATCGCTTTTTGATACGCGTCAAACCAAGTACTACATGTTTCCCTGGTTGCACCATCCATTCTTACAGATTCAATTCGACGGCCAATAACAACTGTAAGATGAGGATGTCGTTTGATAAATCGTGGAACCCATTCATGACCAAGAAGGTGTTGTGGTGGGAGTTCAAGGGAGTCAAATGAGGGGCAATCCAAATTATAAGTCCGTTTTGAACGTAACTCCTCAGCCAATTCTTTTAACAACTGATGGCCTGGTGAATAGCCGCTAATTGTCAATTGCTTTATCCACTTAAGAAGTACATTCTCTTGTACAGCAGAAAGTTTCTGTTGCGATTGACGTGCTTCAGAACGCGACGAACCCCCTTTGACGCGTCGCGTCACAGTATCTTTAGAAAGCCCCAGTTCTTTTGCAGCTTCATATGAAGACTTATACTTTCCATTTTGAACTCCTAATACTGCTTCAGAAAGTCGAGATTCCATTTCCTGCACTTTTAAACTTTTTCGACGGACCATTGTTGAATTGTTGCTTTTTTGATGGGGTGGTCCCCCACAATTAGACGCATTACGCCATTAGACGCATTACGCCATGACTTACGTTACTCTTCTACGCCCCAAATTTTAAGTTAATTCATCTCATGTCCTAAGAATCACACTTGTTCTACTCTCATGCTTCTTGGATTGAATAAAGATTCTATAGTGAAATCCATCTCAAGATTGTAGATTCTAGGCTATAGTAGCTTAAAAAGGAAAAGTTATAATATACCTATAGAATTTACTCCCCTCTATAGAATATAGCCTAAGATGACTAAAATCTACTATAGAATCTAAGGAGTATGAGAATGAATGTGCCGTAGATATTTTAACCATAGATCTTCATATACTCTTCATGCCCTCCCTCTCTACAAAAACTCTCAATCCAACAACAAAACCAACACCAACTTCAACCTCCAATCTCCAATTCCTAAACTCAAAATGAATAAAATAATCCACACACCCTCTCACACTACATCATCCAACTAATCAGCCCAAACTATCTAAATCATCCAAAGTAAAACCGCTCAAAAATTCAAAGAACATTTTCAAATTAGAATAAAGAAGCCTAGCTTATATTCTATTCCCCAATTCCAAAGTTCAAGAAGATAGGCGGATAAGAATTCATATAGCCATCCCTTATTATACATTGAGCGTGTACGGTTATATACAATTGTTTTAAAGCCTGGCTTCTAACCACAAAGGCCGAATTACTCTTTCTCTCTCAATTTCTCCGATTCTCCCCCCCTTTTATTCATATGGAAAAGGAGTTCTACCACCCAGAAGAGTGAACTCTTTTGCCTCAGTATCAGATTGAGTGCTATTTGATATGAATATAGTATTTGAGTTATACAACTATATAACTAATATAAAATCATACAAAATCCTTCCGCAGAACCCTCAACACGATAATGTTGATACAAGCGTCATAACACATCACAGAATGACACCAAATGGTCCCCCTTTCCCTCCCCTCAAAAGACAAACAAAACAACTAGAACCAAGAAAGCCCACCTAACCCACACCTTCTCACACCTCTTCACACCTTCTCACACCCCCTCTCCCCCACCCACTATACTTACCATACCTCCCATTTCCCATCTCCCTTCTCCCCTCCAAACAGATCCAAATCCAAATCCAATCCATTCGATCAATTATTTCATCCTCATCCCCGACCCCATTCCAATAAGCGAAAGAGCTTCTTTCAAACAAGATGAAAAAGTAACATGTATATCAGCCAAGAAGCAAAAAAGCAAAAAGCAATCAATCATTCAAGTAATCAAGTAACAGAGAGAAAAAAAAGGTGAAAAGATGAAAAGATGAAGATTAACACGCACAATATTCAAACACGTAATACAATCGACAAACGACGATTAGAAGGAAGGGAGAGAAACTACGTGATTTCTATTAAATCTCCTTATAATTTAAACCACTAGGCTATATACTTAATTAAATCAATCACAATCGATAATTCTCCTTATAATCCTCAATTCTCTTTCGAGTCCAATAAATAGATTGGCATCATCATCATCATTCATATACAATACAGCCACATCTTCAGTTCCAACCATGTGTGTTCATCACCCCCTATCCACCCCACTTTCATCCTTAACACACTTGCTAATTTCCTCTGATCTACTCATTTCCATATCCCTTCGTCCCATCCATCCACTTGCAAAACCCTTTGAAATCCTCATCATATAAAAGTGCGCAACGAAAAACAAATCCTGCAATGACACCCCCACGCAATTCCCCCATTTGATATAGATTCAGATTCTCGCTAATAAATCAAACCTCTGAACTGTGTCTTCCTTTCCATAAAGGGGGTATCTCTTTTCATGACATCATGAAATCTAAGTATTTCTTCTCTTTCGTGTATTTCTTCATCTGTTTGTTTCGATATAACCAAAATGTTTTCTTCATATTCTCCTTATTCAGTTTCGTTGTTGCTTGTTATTTTTTTTAGTACGCATAGCGATACTTAATACTACCGCTCGATACGAAACCTAAGGCTTATTCGTCGTCCTCTGGCTCCACACACCAAGGATGGTCCATCACTTGCTCGATAGTCAATCTCGAATCGACACCCCGATTTAGCATACCTCGGATGAGGTCGATACTATCTTCACTCATAACATAAGGTACCCTAAGATCACGATCCATGATTTCGTCAATACTGTAGAATGGATTTTCTTTATACACGATGGTGTAAAGCAGAATACCAAGAGCCCAAACATCTTGTGGTTTTCCTTGATATGGTTTACCAGAGAGAACTTCAGGTGCAGCATAATCTGTGACGATGTTAGATATAATCTCAAATTTATAAAAGGAGTAAACTTACCAATGGTTCCTACGAAGACGTCAAAAGGACCGCTCTTGATATAAGCGGCGCTTCCGAAATCAATGAGCTTGATACTCCCTTCACCATTGATGACTATGTTCTCGTCCTTAATATCGCGATGAACGACAAGAGCCTTGGTGTGAAGATGATGAATGGCACGTGCGACCTGTGCGAAAATGCTGCGACATTCTTTTTCCTCCATGTTAACTTTGAGCTCGATGTAATCAAATAAATCCATTCCTGGATATCCGTGAGGTACCATTTCGATATAGTAATTGACGGAATCCTCAAAGAAATCAGACATCTCCACGATGTTAGGATGTTCAAGCCCGTCCCGACGCAAATAATCGAGAACATGAATTTCGAGGGGCACAGTACCCAGTCGACGATCGCGAGTCCAAGTATCGACAAGAATTCGCTTTTTGGTGACATATTTGAGGATCACCTTATTGTTACCATTCTTCTTGAATCGAGCAAGTTTCACCTGACCATAAGCTCCTTGACCCATTTCTTCCAATATTGTGAAATCATCAATGCTCTTCTTGACAACAGGTTTGACCTCTGCTGGAGCTGCTGGCTTTTCTTTCTCATGAGCTTTCGAAAAAGATCGATCGCGACCTGTAAACTTAGCCGCTGTCTTTTTTGCTGCGGCCTTGAGCTGTGCCGTGAGCATCGACGCATGCGATGTTTCGTTCTTGGGCTCATCGGAATCTGAAGAATCCATTTTGATGGGAGCTGGAGGTCCTGTTTGACCTGGAGAAGGTTGGTGTAATGGTGTTTCAAGTCCACTCAATAAGGGAGTTTCCATACCGTTAGCAAGCTTTGCGGCGTGGATATTCCTTGAGTATGTAATCCATAAAGCGTAGACAAGTTCCGATTTTATGACAGGCTCTTGGGGCGTGGGTCCGTCTTCCTCGTCACTTATTTCTTCGATAACATTTTCATCGTAAGCGGGAGTTTTAGGATCCGATTTCACAACCCTAAGTTGAGCGTCAATCTTGAGCTCTGAACCGTCCCTGTGTTTGGCTGATAATCCATCTGGTCTCAAGAAATATGTTGATGAATCAGCTTTTCCATCCCGTAGTGCAAGAAAAGCTTGAGCCCGTCTAAAGCTGTGTTCAGGAATAACAATTCCGTCAACCATATCAACACCGTCTTCTTCGACTAAAATTTTCAACATCCTGTCGAAATCCGGTATTAAATCAGTAATCAATCGACCATCGGGCTTATCCTGCCCAAATAACGCAGCAGAGAAAACAGAATTTGAACTCGTGATTTTCAAGGTTTGCGCAGAGAGAACCATAATGCCAGCAATATGAGGAAAGCTGGAAACGCGGAGATCTGTGCTACTAGGAACTCTGTCGACGACTGCCGGAATATGAACACGTCCAGAGGTACGGGCGGTGAAATATCTCCGTTTACTGACTTCGGCATAATCAATCTCCCCGCTCTTGCCATCAATTCCTTGGCGTGGAACTCTCGGTAGAAGTTTCCCAATATCCATACCTGTCCAATCAATGTCGGCTCCCCATATCGCATCGATAGATCCAGATATTTTTGTTATGGCAGCGTCATCGTCAAGGCTGACAATGGCTACATCTTCATGGATCTCTTCCAAAACCCAAATAAGGCCACCTCTCTTTTCCTTGACCCACAAGCTTGCCGAACCTGTTGCACCGTTTCGTTTTTCAATAGGTACCACATCGCCACATAAAAGGACGCCCCTAGATTTATTACTTTGATGATTTGAGCCACCTTTTGCTGCTCGTGTTCCCGAAACAAGACTGGATCCTGCACCATCGTCGGTTTGCGCTCGACGAGGAGGTTTCTGTACTTGACGCGAGTTAGGTTTACTCAAGAGGCTAGCCGTGATACCACCAGGCCGTCCAAGCAGCATTGATGCTGCAAGCCCTGGTCAGTATACAAGCAATGGAGTGGAGGTCTTAAGATCATCTCATTTTGAAAAAAGAAACAACTTACTGGTTGATGTTGAGCTTGATTGCTGGCTTGGGTTCTGTGATAATAGTGTAGTCTGTTTTCCAACCCTGTGAAGATATTGTTAATATTTCGTGGGGAAATAAAGTGTGGGGTAATGTCCGACGCCCACAAAGCGAAATATCAAAAGCTTCAGAATATCAAGATAAGAAAATTTACTTACTCAGTTCCCAAGCTGTGTGCACTTAATTTTTCCTCCAACCATGGTCTTCTTTCTTTTTGTACAACTTCAAGGATACCCATTTTGCGAACCTCTGCTTTTGTAACACCAAATACGAGACAGGCGAGGTCGTTGGCCGCCAAAATAGTGTATGGTGAAGTACTTTCCGTGGTAAAGATAGCTTGTGCAGCAGGTGCCCACCTACTCGAATGACTGTGATTTGCTGACCCTAAAGAATGTCCGAATGTCGAAGCGCTGGCGGTCTGTGGCATTGAAGGGGAAAACATAGATTCGTGGAGAGAATCAATAGCTATGTAAGGTTGTGACATAGCGTCCATTAGCTTGTTCTGTAGGCTCAAAGGTTCCAGATCGGTGTAAGTTCTCTTTAGACTTTGGCGCCTCGTGATTGGTGGGGATGTTTGCGCTGTCGTCCGACTCTCGTTTGTTGGGGTCCTAGAGGAAGGTTCAGAATCCGCCGGTAGGGCTGTTGCTAAGCCTTTTTTGGGTTTGATAGACTGTAGATCATCTTCGCGTAAGGTATGTAATGAGATTGTCACCTTTTTGGCGCTGGTAGGTGAAGGCGGAGAACTTTCCATTGGCTCTGGACTTTCGGAACGTACGGCAAAGCTAGCATCGAAGATATTCCGAGAATCCAGAATCGTTGCCGGTCCGGTAAGAGGTCCTCCCATTGTCTGCTCTTCTCCAGCTCCGATGTTGTTCGCTCCAACCAGTTTGGCTTTTGCCAAAAGCTCGAGCATACCTTGCATCTCTGCGTCTCCGTTTACTCTTGCTTGAGCACTGGCTATACCTGCACTTGTTGTTCCCCAGCCCAGCTTCTGTGACATGAACTCGACGGACCTTTTCAAAACATTTTGACGGTTGTGGATAAATTCATCGGATTGGTGGGCGAAAGAAAAGGAATGTAATGATTCAGATGGGAAACGGGTAAGATCTTCGGTAAATGGTAGGATTGGAGAGGATGGACCAGAAGGCATGGCTACGGAAGCTGCTCGACCAGAAAAGGGAAGGGTCATTGAACTCGACCGAGCACTCATCGACGCAGCTCGGGAAGAGCTTTCGGAAGCAGGCAAAACTGGTACTCTCGGAACTTGTTGTCGAATTCGTCTTAGACCTGAAGCACCGAGCCCATGCTCATGTTCCGTTACGATGGGCGATCTAGTACTGTAGAAGTTTCTCCGTCAGTTACCGATGTCTCCAAAGTCATTTGCAGAATCAGGCGCAGATTCGCCCCATGACCTCATAACATGTTCCTGCTGCACTAGGCACTAGAAACTAACCTCGACATTGTATCAAACTCTGCCGCCGCCAGCCCGTCATCAAAGGAGAATCGTATTCTAGCTCTATCCGGTCCTGCTGAAGCATGTGCGAGGAGGTTCCCGGTACTTCTGTTTTTCGGGATTGACAAGTCTGCAGGGCGAAGGGGTACACTGCGGTCGCGATCGAGTTCCCTAGCTGTTTTATTCTCGAAGGCTGAGAAGTAACCCATTAGTCTTCTTATAATTCCAATGCGGAAGGAAAAGGGAGAAGTAGGTATGGTACGACAAGCAAAATAATGACCAAGGTTTTATTGTTGGGCGGAATTCATGCGCCGATCAAAGGGAAACCTCGTCCAGAATCATATCACTAATACTAAGAAATAAGGACCTACCATGATTATTTGAAGTATCCGTCTTCAGCATAATTGTGAAGACTCTTATAAGTTCACGAGCTTCTTTTTAGCTTTAAAAAGCCAGGATGATTGTTGGTTTGGCGGTTACGAGTACAAAGGACTTTATTAGTACAGTAGCAGTGTCCGTCGGCAACCTCAAGCTGTTATGTGTAACAAATGATCTCGTTTCGAGTGAGAAGTACAACTGTGCATGAATAGAATATATTCTCCTGGGGCCAAAAAGGAGTTTCGTGATATAATGTCAGGAAATGGATTGAATGGGTTGCGCTTTTGCAAGTATCCAAAGATATGTAAGCTCGAAGGATGCGTGAGTTGTTGGAGAACTTGGAGAACTCGATTGGCTTTTGCTTTTGTGATAGAAAATTAGAAAATCGAAATTTGAGGGTGGTACTGGAGAAAAAGGTGGGGTCGGAAGGGAAGTTAAGTACAAGGCTTCTCCTTGAGTTTGTTATATCTGATGATATAATATATGATATGATATGATATGATGTGATATGATGTGTATGAAGTGTGTACGTCAGGGAGATATACCGAGTAGACAAATGCCAAATTATGAAGTGGTTGATGTAGACGTAGACACAGATGTAGACGTATAGATAGATGTATTAGTATAAGATGAGTAAGAATGAATGTTAGAAATCCAGATATAACGTTGTCTGTCGATGAATGGACGATGTGTATGATATTTTGAATCAGCAAACACGGGAAAAGATGATTGAAAGGCGTCTTCTTCTTCCTTTGCTTTTGCTTCGGCTTCTGCTTCTGCTTCTGCTTCTGCTTCTGCTCTTGCTTTATGATCAATTAATGAGTGACCGATCACGCAGCGAATTACTCGAGTATTATTCTTCTGTTACTTTCCGGCTTCTCACGTGAAGTGTTTTATAATGTGGAGAGTCAAGTCAGCAACAACGGTTCTATCAAATGAAGAGGATGGACTTGCTGGAGAAGACACCATCACGTTGGGGCTGATAGGTTGGAGGTTGGTTCGAGGTTGGGAATACCGCGACTAGGTACGTATTAGGTATATACTACGACGTAGGTAAATGCTGGGTACATACTAGGTAGGTTACAGATTCGGCTCATTCGCCTTGTGGCTATGACTATTCAACTGCTTTTCACGATGGATGGATGATCCAACCATCCAATTCGTCCAATCAACCAACCATCTTTTTCCTCTAAACGCTACACCCCACCGAAAAGAAGTTTCCTATGAAACATTCAAGACATGGTAATTTTCAAGCAGAAGCTCCCAGATTCCATGACGGCTTTATGTGCTAGGTTGTGACTTGTTACTCTATCAACGCCTCCCAGATTGTTGGATTAGAGTTTTCCGAAGAACAATTGACCTTGGTCAAAACATCAAATGAACCTTTCACATCTTTACCTTGGTATCTAAAGTCTTAATCTCCAAGGTAAGACTTATATTGATGTAAACAAGAACATATGCGGCATGTGCCTAGGTGCCTAGGTAGTCGAGGTAGTAAACCTTTTTCAATCAAGGGCTTGCTGAGTCTGAAACTATTTCCAATGTATATACATGAAAGTACTCCTAGCAAGATGCTTGCTGCCAACTCCTCGTCTCCATTTGTTAGCTTGTCGACTCGTTTCTGCTGTACACTCCTCGTCAATCAATTTCAGCTACTATCTAGTTACCATCCAGCTACCTACCTCGCTACCTATACATTTATATATTAATCACACGTGGGCTTCTTCTCCAGCTTTCATCGCACACTCCAGGGCTTGCTGATTAACCATTCGATCCGAGATGGCGTGCAGCATCGTGACACAGCATTTGAGGCCGGGGGTCGGATCTTTTCAAACCGTTACCGCCCATTTGCTCAATTTTGGGGGGTACTCGAGTAACATGTGACGGTATTCGCGTAACCCCTTCATGAGGTTGAAAGCATCATAATACTCTATCAAATATTTATATATGTATGATTATATCACACAGCAGCTCTTGTTGTGATGTTCAAGTTTTAACTCTTCATATATCATGATTTTTTGTTTTGAATACATTTGAGAGACCTACATCGTACTTCTACAAGGTGAATTGGTCATATGGTGTCTCGATATTAATAATTGGGGTCGACTCGACGATGATCTTCCTCTACTGGCAATGATCCGACGGTACGAGAGTACCTCGGATATCATTCTTTGACAATACCGTATACCTATATCCTTGAGGACCTGAAGAAAGTAGATCATCTTCTGCATGAAGGAGACGTACGTACCGAGTACACTCGTGAAGATAATGTTTCTCTTTCAAGTTTATTGTCCTCGAGTCTACCTTTTTTTCTTCTACCTTTCTTTGATTGTCAATAGATTCAAAAGGGGAAGACATCACCTGCAATTTCATGTGAACTGAATGTTCTATTGGCTGCTGCGACGTGATAGACCCGACTGCCAAGATAAACCTCTCCTGCTATCAGGCTAATATGCTAATTCATCCAAACTTCACCATCCACGCAGGTCTCACCACCAATTCTTCAATACAATCCATCCATCCATCAATCAATCATGCTGTCTTGCGGCGGGATTATGGACATATTAGAAGATACACCTACTTGCAGTAAGCTTCAACAATTTGGCATGTGAATTAGCCAGCCATTAAGAATGTTATCGATTGACCCTTCAAAGCTTGGCCAAAGGAAAGTGGAGAGAGTGCGCAGAGTAGAGATTCCGCTTTGACGATTCGGACCAATTCTCCAACTTATGTCGACATACCGTACCTAGGTAAGTCATCTTGTACCTAGATACGATACGATACGATACCTAGGTAGTAAGTACCCTTATTATTCGTTATCCGGAAAACCCCGCATTCAGCTGTACCCCAGAGAGAAAGGGTGGTAGCGATGAGTAATAGGTGTTTGTAAGAATCCGCTTGGGAATATCGAAGAGGAAAGGAAGAAACGAAGAAACGAAGAAAGAAAGAAAAGGAGAGAAAGAGGAAAAGGATGCATGAATTGCTGACAATCGGAAAAATATCAATCATACCTCCTTACGTGCTGCATGCTGCATGCCAATATTCGGAGCCGACTAAGAATTACTCTGAATTGTACGGAGTAGAGCAATCAATCACCATGAACCAAGATTCATTTTCTACCCACCAAATTCATGCTAGGGAATACTCGTCGAATGTAGCAGCAATGCAGCATCTTTTATCCACTTTTGACGAACAAGCTAGGCTCAGCCACGAAGCCATTCGCACGGCCAAGCGTGATCTAGTCACTAGTTTGATCATCCATGCCATGGTGAAAGGGAAAGGGAGAGGGAGAGGGAAAGGAAAAGGGAAAGGAAAGGAAAGGAAAGGAAAGGCACAGCGATGCTTTTACTGTGGAAAAGATCAACTAACATCCTTCTCCCCACACCACTTCCGCTGTCTCGGGAAAATGGGGGATCGGTGGAGAGGGAATCCGAGCGAGGGAAAATCATACACTAACACGACTCGACGAGGATTCAGGTCTTCTTTTTCTCCAGGGGCTTGACTTGATGGGGGAAGAGAGTCAGGGGATTTGTGGATGGCGATTGGAGGTTGATTTATTAGAAAGTGTTTACTAAGTAGGGCGATAGATCTATTGACAGACACATAGAGAGACATTTCTTTCCCCAATGATAGGTTCAATGTAACCCAATATATTACCTATTTTACTCAAGATGGCTTTCTGAAGACTATGATATTGCTACATAATTGCTACATACTAATCTACCACGGGCTGAATTAAGGCCAATTCAATTCTATTCTATTCAACTCGATTCGAATATAATCCATTTGGAAAAGAAAAGTTGCCCCCAATCAATTGTAAAAGATTATAACATTTCACATTGTAAATAAATTATCTTTTGCTTGCTTACCTGCTGCTTACTTGCTGCTTACTGACTACTTACTGACTACTTATGTGGATGTATATCATGTATGTATGAATGAGGCAAGAATGGATGTTTCTCACAGTGAATAATGCAGCCCCAAGCCAAAATAACGGGACCACAAGTTAACTAGTGAACCCATCGGTTCCAGCCTTCCAGCCTTCCAGACTCACTGATCAATCATCGAGTGTCCATGCATTTTGAATTCTCAACCTATCGCTTTCCAGTGTTCGTTTGGAAACTGCAAAGTCTATGCCCCAGTGCCCACCCTCGAGAGTCTCTAAAACTCGTAGTGGCCGTACATCGGTTGGTACTCCGCCTGTCTGGATTGGATGTGACGGGACTGGCTTGTTTATTCAATAACCTCTCACATAACCTCTCACAGTCTCACCTCTGACTTCTCTCCTCTTTCCTATCTCTTCTCTCCTCTTTCCTATCTCCTCTCTCCTCTCTCCTCTCTCCTCTCTCCTCTCACCTCTCACCTCTCTCTCTCCTCTCTCGCCCCTTTCATTGCAGGGCAATTCTTCTACTCCTCATATCCAATCTCTCTCACCCTCTTCATCATCAAATCTTGTCTCGTGCTTGCGATTTTGAACATCTGATCACTATCTCGAATCACGAAGCTTGTTCATGTGCAAAACCTAATTGAGCCGATAAGGAGGCTTTACGATAAGGACTGGGAAAGTGATCGATATTCACACCAGTATTGGTATTCGGAGAAATATCATTCACATTGCATCCATCCTTTTTTCTCAGTGGTGAGTGTCTTTGGATTCTATTGTCATATTTCATATGCATGTGCATGTGCGTGCATACATACATGATTGATCCATTTGTGAATTGTGCCGTTAATTCTTGAAGATAGCAGATACACAGAAGATCTACTACTACTACTACTACTACTACTACACTCCTTCCTATCCACCCCCCCGCCTCGAACATCCATCTCCCACCTTACGTTGCAAGAGTCGAGGAAGATATAATAATCGCTGGTCGGTCCTATTAAAAGAACAAAGGAAAAGATTTGGAAATTTCCATTGTCTCCCGGAATAACTATTACATCTTCGATTCGCATATATTTCGCAATCGATACATACAACTACATTACACTTGAGCCTTGCTTACCTTGGATTTGATCAACTC